CTGTTTGTTTCCTCTCCACCTATCCTCTCCTCTCCATCTATCCGCCTCCCACTCTCTCCCTACTTATTTCAGAACCCCCTTCCCCTCCCCGTTTTCTGATGAAGGGTCTAGGCCCGAAACGTCAGCCTTTCTGCTCCTATGATGCTGCTTGGCCTGCTGTGTTCATCCAGCCCTGCACTTTGTTGTCTCTGACAATGTACTTTGCAGCCTATTAAATTTCTTTTAAGTATTATTGAGTAAAAAGGACACACAGTGACATCAGCTGACAGTAACATTAGATTCAATAGCTCGGTGATTTGAATTACAGGTGATTTCAATTTAAACAAGGAACAACCACATGAACAATGCAGCCAAGGGCTGCCAACACCCATGTAGCTATACAACGCAAGATGCAACAGGAAAGAAGTGGCAGAAAGTACTCACATTAGATCAATTTAAATCAACTACCACAACTAAAAGATCCAGAAGCAAAACATTGCAAAACAACCATTTTGCATTATTCATGTTGCATACATACGACTCGGTAGAAGTAGGTCCTTCAAGCCATATCACTATTTGATAAGGTCACAGTAAATTGTTCCGTTTTTGACATGATTCGATGCTGAAATATTTCTAAACCTCTTCAGAAATGTTTTTACACACATTTGGAACCAGGACTTGAACCCTGACCTGTGGGCTCGGAGGTAGGAACACTAACAATACACCAGAAGGGCCTGTAGATATTTTAATCAACCTGTTCAGATATGTTGTTAAGACACACCTCTGGAACAGGTGGGACATGAACTCAGATTTCCTGGCTGAGAGCTAAGGACATTACCACTGCAAAAGAACACAGAAATCACTTTGTATACACACAGAAGGTAATTACCAGGGGCTCAGTGCTCATAACCTACAAAAGTGAGCTTTAGCTGTCAAAGTAATCCAAGCCCTGCAACTAAATCATGGAATTAAAATTCTGGTTGAGCCACAAAAATTGATTTGCTACCTTAGTAAAAGTATGATTCAAAGCTACAACCTAATTTTCAGACAGACTACTAAAACTTAACATTTATGGTTAATGTTTTCTCAAACACCTTGATTAAGTACTTATGTTGACTCAGTCCAGAAATTAAAAGTCATACTTTTCTCAAAGTACAAATCGATACAGAATGACAAAGATTTCCACAGACTTCATTAACCTGCTTTCAAGTTAAGTCATTTCAATATTATTTGGTATATTTATTACATATATTTACACGTTATTCAAGGCACAAGAAATCAACATAGCACTGAGATAATGACACTGTGGTAATCTCATTGGATCAGCAATCCACAGGCCCAGGCTAATGCTCTGGGGATATTAGTAGATCCTTTAATAGAGCTGGATTATAAAGCCAGTTTCAGCAATGATGACCATGAAACCGCCATTTATTGTTGTAAAAATCTCTGGTTGAGAGAAGAAAATTTGTTTTTCTTATATGGTCTGACCTGCATGCAATTCCAGATCCATAGTAATGTGAGATAACAAGGTGTTGAGCTGGATGAACACAGCAGGCCAAGCAGCATCAGAGGAGCAGGAAAGCGGACGTTTCGGGTCTGGACCCTTCTCCATAGTAATGTGGTTGATTCTTAACAACTCTCTGAAATTGCCAAGCTAATCATTCAAGCACAATTACTGATAGGCCAATAATGCCCACATTCAATTAAAGAAAAAAAAGTGCTATTCAAAAAGAAAGCATATTTATCAACTATGTTCATAAAATAGTTGTGAAACAGTTCAAGAGTCTGACTGAATCAAAATTATGTTTCTGCATTTGCAAGTTAAGTATTTCTGTGAATATCTCACCATCTAGCTTGGGAACCATTTCACTCCCCTTCCTTTGAAGACAAACTGAAGCTCACCTATCTGCATACTCAGTTTAACCTTTCTCTAACAACTGAAAACTAAACTCCAAATCATACAGGGAGCAATAAATCCTAACTTCAGGAGAGCTTCAAAGTGGAATGAAGAAATCATAGAACATAACTTTATGACTGTTTTCTCATCTTATAGACTTGGCAAATAACTCACAGCAAGAATTGGTTCACATCATCCAAACATTTGAAGAGGGCATTCTTTCATTGGTAATCTCAAAACTGATCATTCAGCTCAGCATGCAATAATAAAACTTTACACGCATTTCAGTAACAACCCTTTAGCAAACTGTTGTAATGCAAGAAAACCAGTTTAAATTCCAGTTTGAGATATTTCACACCTTTGCCTCCTCAGTACTTAACCACCAAATGGGCAAAGAGGTGCGTCAAGTTCCATTTTCCACTCAACTGGACTAACTGGAACAGCAACTAATTTAAAACAATGTCAGTATCCATGATAAAGTTACAACTGCCATCAGATCCTAGAAAAGAAAGCAGCAAGGTTGGTGGGAGAAAGAGAGAGAGATTGATAAAGAGTTGTAGTACTTTCTCAAGTGCATGTTATTTGCAATATACAGTAGTGTGATTTTTGACAACCACAAAAGTTGCATTCAGTATTTTTTTCAAAAAATACAAGTTACATCAAACTCTAAATAATCCAATCAGTTGTTTTCTTCAAAGCAATCTTTTTGTGTCTCATCATAGTCTGTGTCCGTGAGACTTCGAATCTTCCACCTTTTCCTTTCAACTTCAAACTCTGGACTAAATTATGTCTTGGTTTATTTATCCCTTCCAACTTCAACTAACAAAGATTGGTTTTCTGTAGAAAACTAGCATAATATACACATTGATATCCCATGGTTAGGCTGCTTACTGTTCAGAATTGCATGTGCATTTGAAAGCAAAATGTTGCCAAGAATTATATTTTCAATTTTTGGACCACTTATTTCCTAAATGGGTCTGTATCTGATTTGCAAGATGTGATAAGTGGAATCCCACAAGGCCTGTGCTGGGGCCTCAACATTTTACATTAATTACTTTTATATGAGAGTAAAGGCATGCTAGCTAAATTTGCAGACAACACCAAGGCAGGTAGGAAAGGATGTTGGAAAAGACATTAAAAACAGATATATACAGGTTGAGTGAAGAAAAGATACAGCTGATGGAGTATAATACGGGAAAATATGAAGTTGCTCTCTTTGGCAGGAAGAATATAGAACGTACAACATTGCTTAAACACAAAGTAGCTGCAGAATTCCAAGATACAGAGGCACTCGGGTGCCTAACTCACAAAGTTAGCATGCCTACAGAACCTAATCAAGACCTCCTGGGATGTGTAAAGACAGTGTCTTGTTATTGTTTTTTGTATTTTTAATTGAGGGCCGAAATGGGGAAAAAAAAAGTTTTAAAACCAAACATTGGCTGGAGGACTACTGCATGGTTTGAAGGCAAGTAACCTGACATTCATTGTAAACACCATTTACACAGCTACTTGTTCAAACAGTAATTGAAGTGCAGCTTGCAGACGAACTGGAGCCAAAGGGTTGTCTTTGGAGCTTTGATCAACGACAAGTAACTGATTGATAACTGGTCACTAGTCCATACAGCAATGACAATGACCTTCTGCCGGCTAACAACTACATGATTGGTTATCGGGTAGTTAGACAGCCAGAGGCTGTTAATAGGATAGGGAGAAGCTGTCAGATCCCCACCAGCTCAGGAACTCTGTTCTCTGCAGCCATCGGACAGCAAGATGGCCTCACAGCCCCAGGGTTCCAGATTCGATTCCAGCCTTAGGTTTGCATGCTCTCCCCATGTCTGTATGAGTTTCCTCCGGTTTCCTCCCACAGTCCAAAGATATACAGGTTAGGTGGATTGGCCATGCTAAATTGCTTATAGTGTCCAGTGATGTGCAGAATAGGTGGAATAGCTATGGGAAATGCAGGTAACAGGGACAGGGTAGGGGGCTGGGTCTGG